AAAAGACTTTCTTTTATTCTGTAATTTAATTTTTCTACTTTTTAATGTTGCTGAAGGAAAGTGTAATAATAAAATATTTCTTGTATAAAATTATTATAATGGCAAACATTAGCTTTTTAAAAATATATTCAATTAGCAAAGTAGAAAGTTGGCAATTCTTGGTCTTAAGTTTTAAGAAAATTAAATTTAATTTGTAAACCACTCTTTTTGAGCAAGGAAAAACTGGTTTCTCAGAGCCTGGGGATTGATTAGTAGGAGGGTTTTTTAGAAGAGGTGGGTTTAAAGCTCCTTGCTCCTAGATTAATTAATCCCCCAGTCCTCCCTTGCACTGTTTCTTTCTTAGACCTCATCTATCCTTAGCCTTGACCCAGCTTCCTCATTGTTCAGACCTTCTTCTCTAAGAACACAGTGAACTTGGCCCAGCAGAGCTGTGGTTTGTGTCCACCCCCATAGCTTATATCCTTTGATGTTTATGCTTCCGCCTGACTAATGGCCTGTCCATTCTCCTTCAGGTCACAGAAGGTGATGTCTTCCTGTTCTTTCTAATGGCATTTTTGGCCAACTGCTAGGAAAAAAGATCGCATTAATACATAACATGCCCCATGGAACAGATTCTAATTTGAAGATACGATTTAAACACTCAGTGTAATCTTCAAATGTCTTTAAGAAAGGTCACTTAAATTCCCACTGAGATTTTTTCAGTGGTCTTCCAGAAAAAAAGAAAAATTAAATTTTACCTGGAAGCAATAGTGTGTTGGCATAATGTATTAGAGCTATATAGCCCACTATCATGAAAAATTTATTTGATCGTCATTTTCTTATCTAGCAAATCACAGGGCCTTGAGGAAACCATACAGGGGCTGGTAGGTTGTCATGTAGGGATAAAAATGATTGCACATTTGAGTTTTATTCTACTTTGGATAGAGAAGGTTGATGAAGAAACTCACGAAGTGTATATAGATGTATGTGTGTCTCCAAGCACAGGGAGGTATGAAGACTCATGAATAATAAAACAGGAGCTAAAAGAAGGTATTACATGCCCAAAATACATGGATTAAAGGCATTAGCCACAAACCTCTGCCTGCTTCACAATTCTGTCCATGATTGGTCTGAAGGGTAAGGAGCAGGCCTGCCTCTAACATTTGTGGGGCTGAGAAGGGGTCAAATTAATTCTCTAATTACATATATCTAAATATTTAAAAGTTATAAATTAAACCAATGAACTATTAAGTAAAATCTGTTCTTTTCTTAATTTTTTTTTAAAAAAATATATTTTATTGCACTTTAGGTTCTGGGGTACATGTGCAGAACATGTGGGATTATTGCATAGGTATATACATGGCAATGTGGTTTGCTGCCTTCATCTCCCATCACCTATATCTGGCATTTCTCCCCATGTTATCCCTTCTCAACCTCCCTACCCACTGCAGTCCCTCCCCTATTGCACCCCAACAGACCCCAGTGTGTGATGCTCCCCTCCTTGTGTCCATGTGTTCTCATTGTTCAACATCCACCTATGAGTGAGAACATGCGGTGTTTGATTTTTCTGTTCTTGTGTCAGTTTGCTGAGAATGATGGTTTCCAGATTCATCCATGTCCCAGCAAAGGACATGAACTCATCATTCTTTATGGCTGCATAGTATTCCATGGTATATATGTGCCACATTTTCCTTGTCTAGTCTATCATCAATGGGCATTTGGGTTGGTAACAGGTCTTTGCTAGTGTAAACAGTGCCACAAGGAAGATATGTGTGACTGTGCCTCTATAACAGAAAGATTCATAATCCTTTGGATATATACCCAGTAATGGGATTGCTGGGTCAAATGGAATTGCTGGGTCAAATTGAATTTCTATTTCTAGGTTCTTGAGGAATTGCTGCACTGTCTTCCACAATGGTTCAACTAATTTACAGTCCCACCAACAGTATGAAAGTGTTCCTATTTCTCCACATCCTCTCCAACATCTGTTGTCTCCAGATTTTTTAATGGCCGCCATTCTAAATGGCATGAGATGGTATCTCAATGTAGTTTTGATTTGCATTTCTCTAATGAGCAGTGATGATGAGCATTTTTTCAATATGTTTGTTGGCCTCATAAATGTCTTCTTTTGAAAAGTGTCTGTTCATATCCTTGCCTACTTTTGAATGGGTTTATTTGTTTTTTCTCATAAATCTGTTTTAGTTCTTTGTAGATTCTGGATATTAGCCCTTTGTCAGATGGGTAGGTAGGAAAAAATTTTTCCCATTCTGCTGGTTGCTGGTTCACTCTAATGATTGTTTCTTTTGCTGTACGGAAGCTCTGGAGTTTAATTAGATCCCATTTGTCTATTTTGGCTTTTGTTGTCAATGCTTTTGGTGTTTTAGTCATGAAGTCCTTGCCTGTGCCTATGTCCTGAATGGTTTTGCCTAGGTTTTTTTCTAGGATTTTTATGGCGTTAGGTCTTATGTTTAAGCTTTTAATCCATCTGGAGTTAATTTTAGTGTAAGGTGTCAGGAAGGGGTCCAGTTTCTGCTTTCTGCACATGTCTAGCCAGCTTTCCCAACACCATTTATTGAACAGGGAATCCTTTCCCCATTGCTTGTTTTTGTCTGGTTTGTCAAAGATCAGATGGTTGTAGATGTGTGGTGTTGCCTCTGAGGCCTGTGTTCTGTTCCATTGGTCAATATTTCGGTTTTGGTACAGTACCATGCTGTTTTGATTACTGTGGCCTTGTAGTACAGTTTGAAGTCAGGTAGTGTGATGCCTCCAGCTTTGTTCTTTTTGTTTAGGATTGTCTTGGCTATGCGGGCTCTCTTTTGGTTCCATATGAAGTTTAAGGTGATTTTTTTCCAGTTCTGTGAAGAGGGTCATAGGTAGCTTGATGGGGATAGCATTGAATCTATAAATTACTTTGGACAGTATGGCTATTTTCATGATATTGATTCTTCCTAACAATGAGCATGGAATGCTTTTCCATCTGTTTGTTTTTTCTTCTCTTATTTCGTTGAGCAGTGATTTGTAGTTCTTGAAGAAGTCCTTACATCCTTTGCTAGTTGTATTCCTAGGTATTTTATTCTCTTTGTAGCAATTGTGAATGGCAGTTCATTCTTGATTTGGCTCTCTTTAAGACTGTTATTGGTAGATAGGAATGCTTGTGATTTCTGCACATTGATTTTGTATCCTGAGACTTTGCTGAAGTTGCTTGTCAGCTTAAGGAGAGTTTGGGCTGAGATGATGGGGTCTTCAAAATACACAATCATGTCATCTGCAAATAGAGACATTTTGACTTACTCCTTTCCTAATTGAATACACTTTATTTCTTTTTCTTCCCTGTCCAGTCTATCATCGATGGGCATTTGGGTTGGTTCCAGGTCTTTGCTATTGTAAACAGTGCTGCAATGAACATTCGTGTGCACGTGTCCTTATAGTAGAACGATTTCCTTATTTTCAAATGAGTGTCTGTGTTGTGTTTCAGGATCCCGTCCAGGATACCACACCATATTTAGTTGTCACATCTCATCAGGATCCTCCTGGTTTGTATTTACTTTTTTTGTGTGACAGTTTCTCAGATTTAGTTTTTTTTTTTCAACGAGGTTGAAAGTTTTGAGGAGTATTATTCAGATATTTTGTGGAATGTTTCTGAATTTAGATCTGTCTGTCTTTTCCCCCATGATTATACTGGGGCTATGGATTGTTAGGGGAGGAATACAATGTAGGTAAAGCATCATTTTCAACACATTATATGAAAGGTACATACCATCAACATTACTGTCTTAGTCTGTTCATGCTACTATCCTAAAATATCTAAGTCTAGGTAATTTATAAACAACAGAAATTTATTTCTCAAAGTTCTGGAGGCTGGGAAGTCCAAGATCAATATGTCTGTAGGTTCAGTGTCTGGTAGGGTCCTAGTCTCTCTGATTCCAAGATGGTGCCTTGTTACTGCGTCTTCCTGAGGGATGAATGGTGTGTCCTCATACAGTAGAATGGTGGAGGGGCAAAAAGGGTATCAGCTATTTTCTTCTAACCTATTTTTTTAAAAATAAGGTTCTAATCCATTTATAAGGGCAGACCCCTTGTTACTTAGTCAGTTTTCAAAAGGTCCCTCTTATTGATTCCACGACAATGGGATTCAGTTTCAGCATGAATATTGAAAGTAAGTAGAGGAAAAAACTTGCCCAACAAGTGGATTCTGAGGCATTTTAAAGTTAGAGGTCAAGAAACTGAAAAGGGATCATCAAAGGAAGATGAGTAGAATGGTGAATAAGGTAGAAGGAAACCATGGGAATGTGATGTCTTGAAAGCCAGATAGAGAAAGAAAGGATAAATGAATCAAACCATTCATCTTCTCTGTTCCATCCACAGTATGCAAAACTATGCCAGAAGGAATGGCATTGCTTGGTGTCCAACACATTCATGATCTCCAAAAACAACTTTCACTACTATTCACTGCTGTGGCTCTTCTAAACCTTCACCACTCTTGATTCCCTCTCCTTCAAGATGGTTTGTCTTCTGCTTCACAGAGAGAACTGATATGATCAGGCTTTAACTTCCCTGATTTACCAGTTTTGTACCTACATCTGTCTATATGTGCATCTACTTTCACCTTCTCTCAGCCTTAGAGGATGGGTGGACTGTTTTCTGTTTAAGATGTGTCTCCCCACAGTGAGCATTTTTGTTCAAGTGTCACAAGTCCCCTGTTGAAAATTGCTTATTAGTTAACTTTATCTTTATATTTTTAGTTTCTTTGTGTCTAGTAGGTTCTTTCCAGTGGAGTGGGGGAAGTTGAACTGAGGAAATGTAGAAGAACTTATGCTTATTATTTATTTATTCCTCTACAGGTTGGAGGGGGGTTCTGCCTATCCTTAGGGAGAAGACAGCATTGAAGCAATATTTCTGGTTCTTCCCACTACTTCCTCCCACTTCCTCAACATGAGTGGGATGATTTATCTTGCTGGTGAGATCAGGGCAAGAGGCAATGCTCATGAGTGGTCTGGTTTTTTGCTTTCTCTCCTGTACAGCCAACTGTTTTGATTGGTGGGATTTGGGGTTCTTTCCAGGTTGTCTCCTCTACGCAAAATGCTGGTAGACACCATGATGTGCCTGCTCAGGCCCCACAGCTTCCCATCCTCTGCTTGGAACTGAGTGAGATACTTTGGCTGTTGGAGGTTAAGTTAGAAAGCACATTTCAGGCTGGGTGCAGAGGTGCTTGCCTATAGTCCCAGCACTTTGGGAGGCCAAGGCAAGTGGGTCACCTGAGGTCAGCAGTTCAAGATCAGCCTGGTGAAACAAAGTCTCTACTAAAAATACAAAAATTATCCAGTCGTGGTGGTGGGCATCTGTAATCTCAGCTACTTGGGAGGCTGAGGCAGGAGAATCGCTTGAACCTAGGAGGCGGATGTTGCAGTGAGTTGAGATTGTGTCATTGCACTCCAGCCTAGGGGACAAGAGTGAAACCCCATCTAAAAAAAAAAGCACATTTCAATTTCTAGTGCAAGCTTTGTTCTCTATTTCAACTTTATTATGAACATAACTGATATTTCCCCCTATTTGATTCATATTTGGTTCAGAACTTGGAGAATAAGAAAGCTGTGATTAATTAGTACCTGCAACTTCCAACATATAATGCTAGGAAATTTTCAGAGTAGATTCTCATTTGGAGAGAAGATTATCCTATGGCAAGGAAGAGCCTTCTTGTGTGACCAGAGAAGAGGATTTACTATGTCTCTGATCAGTGTGGTTTGCTGTACATTGTTGAGAGCAGATATTGTGGGTGTGCCTGATACTGGCATTAAATCAAAAGGCTTTAGTTCTAGTAAAGGCTCACTTCAGAACAGGTGGTGCTTCAGTATGAAGGCTTTTTAGGCTTGAGTGGATGCAACACTCTTTTCACCAATTTGTTTTAAATATTTATTATTATTATTTTTAATCCAGGATTGCCAGATGTTACTGCTGTAAAAAGATGGGGACAAAGAAGTGCTTCTGAAGTCTGATGCACTACATGTTACTCAAGCTCATAAAATTCATGCAGCAAATGCTTTTGGTGTTCTGCTCTGGATCCCCCAGCACTCACCCTTGTACCAGCTGATAGCTCCCTACTATGACAACGCTGAACTAAATTCAGTCTTGGGTGCTTTTTCCACTATTATGTTTGCTCCAGTTGCTGCTGCCATTGTTGTAAATAAAAGATGCAGGTTTTACACAGCAGAGTGAACCTCTCACCTGAAAGTAGTATATTCTTGCTAATGCTTTGAGATATGCAACTGCTGGCTTCCTCATACTTCTGCTTATGTGGTTTCAGCCCAATCTCAATCCTGTTCATCCTAATTTCTGACCCCATTTTTGCAAACAGCAGGTATAACTTTTCTCCTTCTGATGAGTCCCATATCCCTGGAACTGTATGTTTTTGCTGGCATATTATGAATTATGCTGTTGCTGGGTCTTAAAAAAAAAACTTTCTGTACTTCTTTTTCTTTCTCACACTAGTTTATAGCCTGATTTCAGCTACTTTTGGTAACTCTTATACATAGTCTGGAGTTTGAAAATGTTATCTATCTCCTAGTTGTGTTAAAAATGGAGGCTGGGCATGGTGGCTCATGCCTGTGATCCCAGCACTTTGGGAGGCCGAGGTAGGCAGATAACCTGAGGTTGGGAGTTTGAGACTAGCCTGGCCAACATGGTGCAACCCCTTCTCTACTAAAATTTCAAAAATTAGCTGGGCATGATGACAGGTACCTGTAATCCTAGCTACTCTGGAGGCTGAGACAGAAGAATCACTTTAATCCAAGAAAAAGAGGTTGCAGTGAGCTGAGATCATGCCATTGCACTCCAGCCTGAGCCATAGAGCAAAGCTCCATCTCAAAAAAAAAAAAAAAAAAAAAAAAAAAAAAAAAAAAAAGAAGAAAAGTTTTCAGGATATTTTATTTTACTTACTCTCAGTGTTTTCTTGCAAGAGGACAAAAGGTAACACCTTGGCTTATGCAGTTATGTTCATACCAGAAGTTTTGGGAGTTGCATCATTCAGGATACATAGAAAGTCAAGAATTATACTAATTATTTCATCAGAAACAATCTAATGTAAAGAAAAGACAAAAGAGAGAGTGAGGTATCCCAGAGGCAACAATGGCAGAAAGAAGCTACTATTCCTTTTGTTGAGGGTACAAAGAGAAGGATTTGGGATTCATAAAACCTCAAGGCATTAATGAACAGTTCTTGTAGATTTTGGGACTCAAACTCTGAGATGGAGGGACAATTTTTGACTGGTACTTGTACTACAAGAATTTGGAATACACTGCCATGATATTGGGACTCAGACTTCTGAACAATTGATAGCTACTTGATTGGAGCTGGTGTCTCTGGTCTTGCAAGAGGAAACCCCTGGAGTTAGGACACACTTCTGAAAAAAAGATATTGGCTGGTTGGTGTTGGCAGCTCTAGGGCAGTGGTGGTGGGGGTGAGGAAATGAGGACCATTTCGTTAGTGTGTGAAAAATGCGAATTGGAACAAGCAGGTAAACTGGAATCAACTGGTGCTCTTAGTTGACTGATGAACCATTGCCATAGTGACATTGCTAGGATCAGGGAATAAACACATCCTTTGTTCCTCCCCCAGGCTCCTACTCTCACACTAGCGCAGAGAGTCTCATACATTGGCAGAGAGGAACAGGGAGCCAGTGGCATAAAGAAAAGAACAGAGTCTGGGTTTAAAATTATGGGACAACAGTTCAGTGTCCTTTTCATGTAAAAACACGTAGCTTTCTTTAATTCTGACAACATCTGCATTTTTGTTCTTTAGCTACTTCATTCTCACTTTCTTCTGTAGGCTAAGTTTGGCACTTCTGAATATATTCTCGATGGTCTTTATCCTTTATGCTGTGTACTTTTTTAGCTTGATCTTCTAACCCACTAATTTACATTTTAACCATATCCAATCAGGTAGTTAATAACTAAATTTTTTTATTTCAATAATTTGTTTCCATTTCTAAGGCCTCGAATGGATTATTTTTCATATCTGTTCTTGTTTTATGGGTACACTATCCCTCCTCATCTTTCTGATATAATGTCCTTATTTTAGAGTGCTGGGTCTTAATTTTTTTGGCCATAGAAGTTTAATTTTTTTTACATTTGAAAAAATATAACTGGAAATATGCTGCTAGATACTGAATGCATATTTTGACAAACTCAAATGCAAATATGTCCTTGCAAAATTCATCAGTTGGCCAAGTTTAAAAGCTGCCCGTTTCCCAATAGAATCTCACATCAATATTCTCCTTAGCCAATGTATTTGATGAATGAAAAACAGTGACTAGGGCTGGGTGTGCTGGCACATACCTGTCATCACAGCACTTTGGGAGTCCAAGGTTGGTGGATTGCTTGACACCAAAAGTTTGAGACCAGTCTGAGCAACATGGCGAAACCCCTTCTCTACAAAAAATAAAAATTAGCTGGATGTGGTGGCGTGGGCCTATAGTCCCAGTTACTGGGGGGCTGAGGTGGGAGCATCACTTGCATCCCAGAGGTGGAGGCTGCAGTTGTCACTGCACTCTAGCCTGGGCAGCAGAACAAGGTGCTATCACAAAAAAGAAAAAAAAAAAAAAAAAAAAAAAAGAAAAGAAAAAACAATGACTAATTTTTCTGAGCTCAGAGGAGTGGCAGCAGCTGGTTAGGGCAGACTTTAGATGCTGTTCATAGCTTTGAACTTGCTGAAGGCCTGCATGGGGCTCATGTGCTTCTCTTACTGGCATTTGATGGAAGTCACATGGGATGCCTTCACTGTTTGTACCACAATGTTTATTGTACAAACACAACGTTCATCAAGTCCTTCGCTGCTGGATCAGGGATACGGTAGTGTCCATCCTGGAGATGACAGGATCCTCACTGAGGTTATGAACCACAGCCTTGATTTTGTTGCAGATGTTGAGGTGGTTCCAGATGTTGAGGTGGTTCCAGTGGAGGGTGATGTGCTGCAGGTGGGATAGCAAGTGCAGCTTGTAGGCTGAGTCTGAGTAGTGGTTTGTAATAATAAAGTTAAGGTCATCCATCCTAGACCTTGTCTTAGCAATTTTCTTGGCTGCACTGATCTTGTTTGAAGAATTTTTGAGCAGTACTTCACATTGGGCAAAGTCAGTCATCTCTATCATTAGCATGCACATTAGTGTAAGTTGGCTTGGCCAGCATGATGATGTCATTGCCACCGTTACCCATTTGGACATGTCAGCATCAATCTTGCTCTTTTTTTCTTCTTCTAGTTGTTTAACGGAATCATTTTACTCAACGGTAAATTGCAATATTGTTTGTCTTTCATGTCTCGCTCTTCAGAGATCTGAAAATTCTTACCTATGGGATAATTTTTTAAGATTAGATTTCCTGTTCCATAACGGTCTTTGCACATCTCACTAAAGAACATGGGGTGAAGCTGCAATTGAGTTTTATGCTTTTGTACTGTTTTATCTGAGAGCTGGGGTAGGTGGGACATGTTCTTAGGCATGAAGCACCATCTATTGGTCTTCTGAGCTAAACTGTTAACCTTCTTCTGAAATTATCAGATACAAGGTACTGATCCACCTGAAGACATTTTCTGTTGCAGGTGATTGGCCTGCAGAAGGCAGGTGGAGATCTATAGTTAATCAACCAGTCTGGTCGCTTCCCCTAAAGTATTCCCATAAATCTCATTATTATGTGGTGGCCTCCTGATCCCAGCTCCTGCCACCTCCAGATATAGAGCTCCCAAGACATTGCTAGCACTTTTTGTAGTTGTGCCCTCTTCTGGGTTCTCATTTGTGACATGCTGTGTGGTTTTCCCTCTTTTCTCCAATTCTGTCTCTTCTCAGTGTTTTGAAGATTCCTCACAATTTCTGATTCTTTGAAGCTTCCATCTTGTTTCAGAGTGGAGCTCTGTACTTACTAAATTTTAATAATTATCTTTTACATTATCTTTAGGGCTGGTGAAACTAGAGCATATAACATGTGTTTGGCTTAGAATATAAGAAGTAGAAATATTTCCTGGAATTTTATATGGTGGAAGTGAGAGGGTAATGGTTTACTACTTGTCACCTCATAGAACTAGAATTTGTACCATGACTATGTGTTCCATAGAGAAACTATCTAGAGTAGAAAAAGATGAAACTAAACAGAGGAAAGAGAGAAGGCTTTGACAGTGCAGACAGCATGCAGTTCTTGAGGTTCATGGAGTTACTCTGGTTCTTACTATTCTTTCTTCACTTCAGTGATCCATCCCAGGATCCCTGCGGTTTACCTCCCCTACACTGGATTTTGCCCATGTTTCACTTTTTCTCTGGCCTTGAGGTGCCAGATGTGTTCATGTTTAAATGGGAAAAATAAAGCTATCTCACCATCTCACGGGTGAGAACCCAGAGGAGGGCACAACTACAAAAGGTGCCAGCAATGTTGTGGGCACTCTGTGTCTGCAGGTTTGTTTTCCCTAGCTATAGCTGTATTTCAGAAAATAGTTTATCCTATTTAGGTGACCCTCTCAATTGTTTCATTCTGAATAGCAATGTACAACGATACCTGGGGAGCACATAAGCCTGAAGTAACCTTAATCCAGTGCTAGTTTTGGGTACTGATAGCAAATACTTGATTAGAAATGTCGAACACTAGCAGTGACAAAAGAGTTTAGTGTTTGTCATTGTTTCAAAAGACAAATTAATGTAATGTTGGATGTCATAATAATACAGTGAAAGGTTTACTTATGGACATCAGAAATACTCAACTCTAGGGTGAATGGGGAAAAATACTTGTTATACATTATATGAATATCCTTATGGATTGGGACAAAACTTGCAGGGGCAGTATCATGCACAGATTCAAAAAATGCTATCCTGAAAAATCTAGAAATTACAATGATACATTCTGGGAAATTTGTGTTGAATGATTTAGTGATAGTGAGAATGCATCAGAAGAGTGTGATAAAGAAAGTATAGTATTCATTATAAAAAAGTTATCCAGTAGTTTTATATTATTTTATATATAATTTTAAGTATAGAATAAAATAATATCAAGTATTGATACATAGTTATTTGACTATTTTACATCAATTTCTAAAAATATTCATTTGGCTTAATAATTTATTTTTTAATTTTAAAATTTCCTCCTTGGGAAAATGGAAGCCTGTAGTTGAATATACAAGGCAGTGGGTCTTGGGTGTCAATTGCTTGCAACAATAGTAGTCCTGTCTAATGTGTCAGGAGCCAGTAGATG